TAGCATTTAAATATTTTTAATATTTTTAAACCACATTTAAACAGTTCTACATCCTGGTTTTGGTCTGCAATCGACGTTAATTTTGTAGTTGCAAACTTGCTTGTCTTCATCGAAGTAAAGACCAGAAGGACATTCCATGGGCATTGGTGGGTCGGTCAGACAAACGAAGTAAGTGGTGCAGCTGCATGGGTGTCGAACCATTGTATGGTTTACATTTATATTGGTCTCACAGTCCAGTCTAACGGAATCATCGGAGCTTACATAGACCAAGTAGGCCATAAGTGCAATTACAATTGCAGCTAAAAAAAAGAAAATCAAAAAACAAGTCTGATAAATCGTTTCTCTACGAGATTCAAATCTTTGAAAGAATTATTTTCAGAAAATCAGTTTTACAATTGGTAGAAACACAAGGAACAGGTAGATTCTATTTGTAAAATAAGACTATTTCAGTCTTTGTTAAAACGGCCACGTGTCTATTAATATTGATACGAATCGGAAGAATTTAATCGTTACGTGATTAAGAATATGCAACAAGAAAATATACATAATATTTTAGAGAACTTTATAATAATTCAACACGGTTAGTATAACTAAGACAGCTCAGTTAATGTAGTTATACAGTATAGAACTAGTATAACTAACATCATAGTTGGTGTAGCAAACGGTTGCGATCTTAGGATAAGGATAATTTAATAGATTGATTACAGGTTCAATAACAATTGAAATAACCAAGTAGAATAATCAAGGGACTTTGTCTCCCTACTAGTTCAGATGACAGAGATTCTACTTTACTTTCTACAATTCTATTTTTATTCTCTTCAATAAGTAAATAAACCGAACGATCGAGATTCTGATTATTTCGAATTTATTTTTGCGTAGCAATTCAAATTTCAATTTCTCTTTCTTGCTAACATATCATCCAACAAGCTATTCGTAGATATTTAGTGAAGTAATTAGCTTACCTTTCATTTTGCTTTTCGAAAAAGATAATACGCTAATTGTCCAAACTCTGTATTGTCGTAGGCACAACTTGCCTGACCAAATTTCAGCTTCGCTTTATATACTCTATTGACCAATTAAATGTCGCTATCTATACACGATATTCGGATCTATGCTTTGTTGGATTTCGTTATCAATCAAGTCATGATAAACGCTATTGAAGTATAAGTAAGTTACCACGTCCGGAGATCGAAGATAAACTGATAAATTTGCGATCAATCTCTTCTTACTTCCAAGAAGATTCGTTATTTTTGAAATGTTAGTTCAGGAACTTTGTCCGTGAAAAAGTAACGTAGCGAGATCAATTTTCGATAATTCACTTCATCAGGAAAACAACACGATTTAGTGAATTTAATTGTATCGATGATAACGTAAAGTTCATACTCTTGCATTTTAATATTCGTGCTCGTGTGAGACGCGGTTACCTAACATTTAAACTAACAGTAAATTAATATTCTCCTCTACCAATAAACGTATTTATCGAAACACTCATTTTCTTTCACTTTCTACTTCTTGTGTTTTACATCTTGTTGTATTAAATCCGATAGATGTAAAGTTAGGATAACAAAAACCAAATAAATTGTTACATAGCGAAGAAAGAAGATCGTGAAAGAGAAATTGTGCATCCTCGATCAATTAGGTCGAAGGAAATTATACGTTAAAGGGTTAACCGGGTATTTAAAGAATTAATAAGCCGATTAATCACGTATTATACTCTGAAGAAATCTCTAAGAATAGGCATTCTCTTCGATACAGACGACTATTTTTGTAGAAACGAAGCAAAAATTTGGACGAGTGAAAACATTGAAAGAGAGATGTTACAAGAAATGCGTCTATATATATGAATTACAGGGGTGAGATGAGTGAGCGAGCAAGAGAGAGAGAAAGAGAGATAGATAGAGAGAGAGAGAGAGAGAAAGAACTTTGTCTGACATTCGGACAATGCCGGCGTGGTGCTGTCGCGTTCGGTTCCTGGTTATGGCGGGTGCACAATGCCTATTGTTGAGCAACCCACCATACAAATGTGTGTGCCAACGCTTCCACACAACGGACTGCTCCAGGTTCCTCATTTCGTCTCTCTGTTTCTCCTTAACGGCACACGCACGTAGCTTTTCCCTTATATTCTCTATGCACCATACCAGGTTTGCGTAACTCGTGGCTTTTGGCAAGGGCAATAAGATCCAACGAAACGCCGCGAAAAGAGACCGATATTGATTTCTTTTTTTCTTTTTTTTTTTTTTTGAACGGCCTGAAGGAAAGTCGCTAGGAAATGAGCCTCACGGATGAAACGGCATACTAGAATGCGTTGAATCTTGGATACGGTACAACGTAAACATGGATTTCATCTTCTCTGCTCGATCAAGAAAACCTTTTTGACACCTCAAAGAAAGATTTTAATGCATTTTCCGTCCATGAATACGCGAGCCGGATATTTCGCCGCTGCGACGGCTTCAATGTATTCCGTGTGTTTGGCTATGCAGCGAAAATGAAACGTATAATTAACGAAGCAGGATAATAATTTTGCCCTGATTTTTCGATATACGTGTGTAATGTACGATTATAGACGGTATAAAGGGTAAAAGTAACAATAACAAATTACCATACCGCGATTGAAGTGGACACGTAATTATAATGTATATATCCATTTAATAATAATATATGTGAAAGTAAAATAATATAAATTTGCGAATAATTTTGTTTGAAACTTGCGGAATATTTTTGCCAATTAGTTATTACCTATAGTTATTATAAATAACTGATATATCTCTCTTATATATTATTCGTTAACTAAGATCAATACAGATATATGAATTCTTTAAATAGATGAAGATATAATACATAATTATACATATGAATAAAATGTATATCATACAAGGAATAAAACAAAGACATATTCTTTATTCGAAACAGAAAGGAAATATTAATTTTGATTCATCAATGAATTAATACACAAAGGGTATTCATATTCATTTTATACTAACAATCAGAGAAATAAATTTAATTAAATTTAATTAAATAAGAGGTATCGCCTAATTTTATACAAGCTATTTCATAAATTATTTTTCTTCGTTTCTGTCTTTATACAGTTATACACATAATTCGTAATAGAAATATCAAGCCAAATTGTGCAACCATAATCTATCGTTTATCAGCAACGATAATTTATAAAACAAAATCAACTGTTTTGTCATTGTATTACTGGGTCGAATGAAATTGTTATCAATTATTTATTTCACATTAGGTCATCTTAAAAACAAGTATCATGTATGTTGACCATGAATGAGAGACTGCGTAATAGACAGTTACAAGCAAACACACGTGAAAAATGTGTAATTTGTCTACGTTTTATCGAGATTTTATAAAACATGAACTTAAGATGGTGATCGAAATTCAATTTTTTATTCTGCTACCTTTCCATAGCGAAAGTTTTAACATAAGTTAGTTGGTATAACGATAAAATTTTATTTTTGTTTTCTTTCTAATTTAATTTCATTATGTAATTATCGAAAATTTAATAAATGCACAAACATATACAGATACATTATCGTTAATAAACCTTGTTCGATTTGCGTGGAATTAATATATGTGACTTGCATCATGTATTATCGATCAGTAAATTTTGAAATCCCGAGAAAATTTGAAGAATAATAGAAGAAATGTATCAGGAAACTGAAGGTAACGATATTGATGATAATGGTATCGATAAGGCGACACTTTACGAAAATATTTTCTTACATCACCTAACGTACTACAGATAAGATTGTTGATAATGTTCTTTGATATTTAATCCATTTTGTACGTCAATCTCGAAGTGCATGTACAACGCAAAGCTATCGTATTTCTGGAACAAAAACGTAGTCTTAAATTTCCTAGTGTTCCTGTTTTGAAAGTTTCAAATTTACGCGGAAAAATAGCTACAGGCACCAAATCATTTTTTATATACATCTTCCAAAATTATTCATTTCTTTGCTTCATATTGAAGATTTTATTATTGTTTTTAGAATCTCAATAAACGTCATTCGAACAGACAGAACTGATATTTTTGGATGCAAGTGCATGTTATACTAATGTAATTGTCATACAGAGTTCTAAGTGAATTAAATTCTCGAATTATCATAAATTTCATAAATAAGTATGTAGACTGACGAAACATATTCGTTTATCTAATAAAAGAACTATGGAGTGACTTTTATTTATTTCTTCGTGTCTTTACGCTGTTGATTTTAATATGGATAAGTGTTTTTCCTACAGAACATTGTAACGCAATATGGACAGAAGATTGTGATTGAGGACATTGACAAAGAGTATGAAAATTGGTGTTTTCAATATAAAATATACTGTTGAAAAATATTTCAGGACATTAGTAGTAAGTGTAACATATTAATTATACATTTATACATATATTATACATAATATTCATTTTTAATTATAATTACGTATAATAATTAGAATTAAAATAATCTTGCAATAGAATAAACATCTTTACGTTACGAACTGTAATATAAATCGATAAAATAACTTTGACCAATTTTCTGAGTCTAATAATCCAGCGATATAGTATATCACGAAGGATTTATCAACCGAGTTTTAATCGAAATTATTTGCCAGCGAGTAATACTATTACAGCGGAAGGAATCGACGATATGACGATCAAACGAATCCGACGGGAAAGAGAAAAGAAAAGGGGTAAAAAGGGAAGAAAGTGGCAACTTCCTTAAGTTTCTGCCCGATCTCTGTACCATTTGAAATTCGAATTTAATCACACTTTATTGTCCGAAAGCACGCGAGGAATTCTTGATCGCGGAAAATCGCGGCGTATCTGCGTCCCATCTCCGTAACGAGATGTACGAAGTAACGAGGAAAGAATTCGGTTCGTTACGGGGTGGGATCGGGGAACCGAATCTGACCCCCAACCACTTTCAACCCCGTCTTCGTCTATCGCTGTGTCCATAATTTAAATTCAATCATTTGCAAATGTCGATCCATTTCGACTGTTACAGCAGATTGTTCGTACCGACACGTGGAACTTGGCTTCACCTCGAGAAATGAGACATTCCGACTAGAATGTGACTTGATCGTTGGAAATTCCTCCTGAGGATCTTAAGACAACGCGCGGCATTCTCAAATGGGAGAAAATCTGCAGAGAAAAGAAAAATCTGGAAATTTACATACGATGGTTACGGAAAGCATTTATACATCGTTGTCTTCATTATAGCACTTATTAATTAATTAAGTGTAATTATAAGTATCTTCGTATCGTGTAGTAGTACTTTTACTGGTTCGCAATTTTCAAATTATTTTTCTTCAGCTCATGACTCGGCTTTTTCTGTTCCTATATTGCATTTAAAAATTACGCATATAATTTACATTGCGCGAAAGATATAGTAATTTCTTGCCTTATCTTCGATTTAAAAGAATGGCATATAAAAGAGAGCAAACAAAGAAAAATATCATACGTTATCAACATGAAATTTTGAAAAATATTCAATAACTTTCTCAGTATTCCACTGAATAAATGGAACATTTGTTCCCTCCGTTCTTTGTTTCTTATCGAGGAATACTAACTTCTCTTACTTATTTACTTGAAAGCTCTTTAGCTTTCACGATACAAAATTAAACGGAGCGTACATATTTTCTGATATTTTCCGCTCGAATTTTATCTTTACACGTTTTATTCTATTGTCTATAATTAACGCTTAAATGCAACAACCATTTAAGTAAGTATAGAAGAAACACGTTAACAAGAATCTTCTCTTATCGAATGGAGATGAAGACTAGTTTAGTCAGAGAGTTTTGGATTTCATTCGTTCATTTCTTTGGACTTGTACACTTATTTGAAAATTTCCACAAGAAACAGATAATTGAAATACTTCTTTCGCAATTGGAGCCAAGCCATAGTTTCAAGGCGGCAGAGGATATACAAAAATTTCATTAAAAACTAGTATCATTGTGTATACAAATAAAAACATTATAAGTATCATTTCTAAACATAATTAATTGTTAATCTTTTAAGCGGGAGTGTACATGTATCATAGTCTTGTAGGCTCCCTTTTCAAAAGAACTTCTCAATTTCAAAGAAGAAAAATATTGCCAGTCTGGCGAGCAATCTAGAGTGCAGCTCGGAGAGTGAATGATTTCAGATAAAACAAGAAAAACTAAACGCACCTTGTCGTAATTTAACTCTGGTTCCTATGAACGAAGGGAAGCTGGCCACCGACACTGGTGGTTGGTGACACGAAAGAGGCAGCGAAAAGCTTCGACGAACATTTTGGGCGTAACGTTAACGTTCATATCTCGATTTTCCTGGTGCTCGCCGATTCGTATAGCAGAGGGAACGAGAGAAAAGCGTGGCAGGCATGCTCGCCATATTGGCATACACGCCGCCTGCGTTTTACGGCCGTATTCAGCGATTTTGCATATCGAGCACTCGGCCCTGTATGCGTGCAGGTATATGTGCGTGAATTGTAGTACATAGGGATGAGAAAGAGCGAATGAGATCACGAAGCGTGAGCATGATCACGAAGAAGATGAACGAAAGTATAGAGGAGCAGGAGGAGAAGGAGTAGAAGAGGACAGAAAAAGGGACACACACCATCGTTGTCCTTTCTAGAGCGGTGGCAGCGGAACTGCTGCAAGCCTATTCACCTTTTCCACACCGATTCACGTATATACGGCGATCGCAGACCTCCTTGAGAGCTCAATTTATCGCGAAACGGCCTCCGCCGCCAGTACAAAGTGAGCCGGCGCATGGAACGTACCAGCCTCCCTTCCAGTAAATTGTCATAATTGAATAACCAGCGAGATAAGCGAGCGTCGCTTTGACCGCCGTTGCTTTCCCTTCCTAACTCGCTAGCCGGCTTCATACGGGCCGATCCATTTAACCCTTGAGTGTCTCGAGTCCACTTGATACGCGATCCGTACTCCCCCCATTGTGTTTCCAGGCTCTGTGTTCGCTTTCATTTCCGCGAATCAGTCGATTAATCAATTTGCAACGCTCCCTCCTCGTTTAACATTGCCTCGGTGGATCTGCCTTTTTTCCTGTATCCCCCGTTTTGCCTGACTCGAGCCCATGCTACGCTGATCGCGTTCGGTTCCGTTAACGAGAGTATCTTTGAGCGCCGCGGGCGATTCGGGAATAGTTGAAGAGTTCGCAACGAGATTAGCGTCGTCGTATACGCTTTGTTCTTCGAGATAGCGTATCGACGCGTTTTTTCTTTTTTCCAATTCGATGCTGCTTTCTCTGTCCACTAACAGGTCATCGGCCAGCCAAAATTGACTGGTATTTGCAATTCGTTTGTTTCTGACACACAAGTTCTGCTGTAACGTAGCCTCGTTACTCTGGAGTGGTGTACATCATGGTTTTGTCTGATACCGATGCCTGTTGGTAGCAAAGCAGGTTAGAGAGTAATCGATGAATCGAGTCACAGCTGTTTAAATCGGAAAATGGATTAACTATACGCTAATCATGCAGAGTATCTCAGGAATCGTGGTACAATGGACAAGAGAGTGGATTCTACACGTACGAGTTTAGAATATAGGATAAGATTTTTTCATATCACGTTATCATTATTTGTGGAACGCGACACAAAAATAACGGCGGTTGATAAAACACTTAAATTAGTAAGAAACAGCGTTAATGTCCCAGACCGCCGTTGAACGACCGTGCAATGCTGTGCATGTCGATGAATGAAATTATGGAAATCCGTATTTGGTATTGTTCCACAACTTCCTCTAAAATTCTTCCATGCCGTTCCATTTCGCGTTATTAAAGCAGCATACAATAAGATTTAACGGACGCGCAACCATCTAAATACAGTTTTTCATTAATGATAGGTGGAATATGCAAAGGATGATTTTATTGTCCTTTTATGGCTTTTACACAAAATCACTGTAATCACAGACAATGGTTGCTGATACCATTCTGTTGAAAGGTACAAAACAAGAATCAACCGAAATATCTGACGGAGCTGAAAGGAGAAATTGGAACGGAATAAACGAGAAGAGGAAGCAGAGGTGCAGATATCGAGGGTGGCTTTAACGGCCTTTTGTTTGGTTAACTGCATTGCTTCCCAGCTCGCCGGTAATTGCCACAATGCGGGGCGAGGAATCAAAAAGAGAATAGCGATCCAGGAAATCAGAGAAAATGGTTAATCGAACGACAAGTCGATCCCTAATTTTCCTCTTGAGACACATTGCTTTGATTGCACTTTTTTTCTTCTTTCTTTTCCTCCTTTCTTTTAATCTTTCTTCTCTCTTTTCGTTTCTCTTTCTTCCTCCATTCCTTCTATGTTTCTTACATTTCTGAAATAGCAAAGAAATAATGGTAACGAGTATGTAACGGAAAATCTCCGAACGTTCAAAATTCTGTACTTCTATGATACGATCCTACTTTATATGAAAGTGCAGCTTTTAATGTAAATTCATATTTTTATAAACACGACTAAGGAAATGCATGGGAATTGTAATTTAGTGATATTTAAGAAAGAATATTATCATCGCAGATATTGTATCAACAAAGTGTATGGATAGTAAATTACTCATTATATTAATAAGACACGATACTTAATGAGACCATATTTAACTAACTACGTGTTCAAAATCACTATTCATGTTGTATACTAATTTATTACTGAGTGTATGTTTGCAGTACATGTCTCGTAACTTCTATGTGCATTTTTGGATTGGTTTCAAATTTTACCAATCTAATTACGTTAATTCCATCTCATTGCGTTAAAAAGTTTCATGTAAGACGCATAATACACATGTTCATGAAAATTCATTGTGTTAAGTGTTCAAATACTATGAATCATTATGTGTAGTGTATAGGAGTTTCAATAACCCGCAGGATATAATAAAACGTTTCCTGACCGCTTTATGTCTTCGACATCTTTGAAAATTGAAGCAAAAATTCTGTGGAAAATTGAAGGGAATATCTTTATCATTCCAGGCACGAACGAGCCTCACAGAAATTTGGATTGACCTTTCTAGCGTGGAACAATTCTTGGTTTTGCGGCGAACAAAAAGAACAGGAGATAGTAAAAATATTTGACCGCAGTGCCGTAAGATCTCTCTACGGCCATCTGATATTTATAAAGAATCGTATCTTACGAGGTCGCATTCGAGGAGTACAAAGGACGTTTAGCAAACCATCGAAGCGTTGCAAACATCGCCGACGCGTGGAATATGGTTCGATATCCTCTGACTATTCAGATGGAGGCAATCCTCTGCAACCTCCTCAGCAGCAGTAAGCTGTGACGACTCCTTGGCAAATCTTCCGCCCACATCGGGGCCTCGTACAGAACACTGGATCGAATCACTCCCTCGTACAGTCGACGAACTTCGACTCCGGCCCCGCCAATGTTTGGTAATAGGCCGCATAAGGCCGTATAATTCCGGTCAATGCTGGTGCAGGGTGACGGGGGCCCCACGAGAAGGTGAGGTGAGTAGTCTTGGCAGGTATGGGCCCACCAACTTCTCCGAAATCCTCCGCATCGGATCGGCAAGCTGACGAGGGCCAAAGCCAACCACCCAACTATAGGAGAATATCAGATCCATAGGGGTTTCCCAGGGCGTGGTCCTAC